CCCCCCCCCGCACTGGGCTGGGAGTCTCCCAGGGGGGCAGGGACCCTCTCTGTTTTCTTACTGTGGGGATTCCCCGCCTCACGGCTGGAGCACCCGAAGGCTGCGGGGGTGACAACGCCCCCTCCACGCCAGGAGGGGAAGCCGGGGCTGGGTGGGGGCGCTGCTTCCACGTGGCTGAAGGTCGCAGGGAGGAGAGGGCTCTGCCGAGCGCGTCGGGGCGTGGCGTGGCGTGAGGCTGGGGCGGAGGACGCGTGCTCCGGGCCTCGTCCCGGGAGCAGCCAGGAGCCACCGGGCGGGCGGGCGGGCGGGCGAGAGCTGCAAGGGCGCCTGAACTGGCCGCATGTGCTGCTGCCCGGCCGCCCCAGCGCGGCAGAGGGTGTCCCTTTAGCAGGCAGCCTTGCCAAGGCAGGGGTTGCTGAGGCCAGGCCTGCCTGGGAGCTGTAGCGCAGGGCCACCAGGCTCCGGGTTCTCTGTCACTTCCTGAGCACCCTCTTGAGCACCAGGGAGAATCCAAGGCAAGAAGGGCTCTGTGCAGTCCGCCTCCGCCCCACCGCTCTGTCTTCTGTTTGTTGACAAATCAGCTTTTGCTTTCCTTTTGTGCTTGTGTGGCCTCATCGTCAGGCCTTCACGCTACATTCCCACCCCCACCCCTTACCGGATGGTTTACTTTGAGTCAGGGTCCTGCTCAGTTGCAAAATTACCCCGACTGGGCTGGAACTTGCGGCCCTCACGCCTCAGCCCCCGGAGCGCCGGGGTCGTAGCCTGCAGGACCCCGCTCAGCCTACGAAAGTGTCTTCTCGGTCACTCTAGCACAAATGTCTACAGCTCCTGGACAGCCTCCCTGGAGAAACTTCTGCGGGTGAGGACGCAGCCACTCGCACTGGGTAGAACCTGAGGTCGAGGTCAGTGATAGGAGGCTCTCGCCGGCGAGAGGGCCTCATCAGTGCTGGCGATCCGGGGTCCCGGGGTCCAGGAGAGTCTTAGTCCTGTGTCTGTGGGGACCGCAGCTCTCAGCTGGCTCTCGGATTAGCTGTCCTGCCGACACCGAGAGCGTCTCTCCCTCCCAGGCCCGATTGAGCCTCCTGGTAGGCTCCCCCCACTGACACGCCCCGCTCGGCTGGCCTTGCAGCAAATTAGCAAATCGGGACATGTGGGTTTTTCTTATTTTAAAACAATGTCCATTTATATTTGGAGTTCATTTTTTTTTTTTTTGCCCCATATTGCAGTATGTAAAAAATTTCAAATATATCAAAGCTTAATTTTACATGGAATACCTTTATATTTCTATTCATTTTTATTTTTTTATTGTGTGGAAAAAAGGTAAAAGAAAATTTTATAACAAAACAATAGGAGAATAACAGTAATTAATACACTGAGTTTTATCATCTAACATTTTTGTTGTTGTTGTTGTTGTGGTACCAGGGATTGAACTCGGGACCTTGCCCTTGCCAGGCAGGCGCTTATGCCACTGAGCTATATCCTCAACCCATTAGTATTGTTATCCATAAAGTAGTTGTTCAGAATACAACATATGGACATTAAAATTTCTCCAACTGATATTAGCACAAACCTTCCTTTTCTGTGAACTAAGAGACTGTATGTGTGTATGTATGTATGTATTTAGTACAGGGTCTACAGGGTCTCACTACACAGGTGGGACTCGTAGTGATCCTCCTGTTTTCAGCGTCCCAAGCGCTGGGATTACAGGCGTGTGCCACCAGGCCCAGTCCCAGTCGCTGTCTCAGCGTGTTATGGGAGAGGGGCCAGCATGGCAGGCTGGGGATCGAACCCTGGTCCCTGTGCCTGCTTTAATCTGCTGAGCTGTCTGGCCGGCCCTAAGAAACTCTAATAGTGCAACTGACTTGCCTTTTTCCCTTCTTTCCTTTCCCCCATCCTAGTTCCTTTGTCCTTTTGAACAATTTCTTCCCATTGCCCAATACCCATTGTACATTTTTATTTATTTATTTATTTGTGGTACTTGCAATTGAACTCAGGACCTGCGCTTGCCAGGCAGGCACTTATTTTACTGAGCTATCTCCCCAGGCCCCCATTATACATTTTATTTATTTATTTATTTGTGGTACTTGCAATTGAACTCAGGACCTGCGCTTGCCAGGCAGGCACTTATTTTACTGAGCTATCTCCCCAGGCCCCCATTATACATTTTATTTATTTATTTATTTATTATTTGGCCGAACTGGGGATTGAACTCAGGCCCTTGTGCTTATTGTACATTTTAGTTTTAGTTTTGCTTTTTTTTTTTTTTTTTTTAGAACCAGGGATTGAACTCAGACCCTTGCTCTTGCCAGGGAAGCACTTATTCCGTTTTCTTTTTTTTTTTTTTTTGTAGAACCAGGGATTGAACTCAGACCCTTGCTCTTGCCAGGGAAGCACTTATTCCGCGGAGCCATCCCCCCAGCCCTGCTTATTGTACATTTTAGATCTCATTTTCCCTTTCAGTTTCTCACACCAGGGAGACAGTGCGATGTTTGCACATGTGGATCTGGTTTATTTCACTTAAGAATGTGGTCCATTTGCATCCACTTACCTATAAGAGCCTTGAGCTTATCTTCTTTTATAGCTGAGTAATATTGCATTATATAAAAATACCACACCTTCTTTATCCATTCCTTGGTTGATGTGCATCTGAGTTGTTTAGAAGAGTTATCTTTGGCAAATCATTCTGCTATACACATGTATTGCCATGGTGTGATGCTTTTAGTTCTTCTGGAAAATACCCAGAAGGGGACTAGCTGGGTGGAATGGGACCTCCGATCTTAGCTTTTGGAGGAGTCTCCACGCTGATTTCCACAGTGGTTGCACCAGTCTGCACCCACCAACAGTGGAGAAGCGCTCCTTGTTCCCCACAGCCTCTCCATTGACTTCTTGATGACAGCCATGTCCCCTGGGGTGAGATGGAATTTCAGTGCTGTTTTAATTTGTGTTTCTCAAATGACCAGTGGTGTTGGACATCAGTGGTGTTGGACATTTTTTCTTTCTTTCTCTCTCTTTTTTCTTTTTCTTTCTTTTGTATTTTAGGGAAGGGGCTACAGGGTGTTCAGGGTCTCACTACTAGATCAGACTTGTAGTGATCCTCCTGCTTTCAGCCCCCCGAGCTGGGATTACAGGCGCCGCCATGACGCCCAGTCTCAATTGCTGTCTCAGCACACCCTGGGGGCAGGGCCGGCCAGGCTGGCCTGGGGATCGAACCCCAGCCCCTGCACCTGCTTGCAGGTGCTTTAAGACGCTGAGCTATTTGGCTGGCCCTCTACCTGCCTTTTCTTCCAGTGGTGTTTCCATTCTTACCTTTACATTTTTGAACATCTAGATTCCATTATCAGCAGCTTATAATTCCTGAAGCAGGTCTATCAGGCCTCTCCCTGTCTCTCCCGCCTGCTTTTTCTGGTTTTATCATTGACTTTGAAACAAATATGTGGTTTGTCACTCATCAGCTTGCAGCGACAAACAAAAGCACCGAAAGGACACCCCAATCTCTGGTGGCCCAGGGCTTACGTAGGATCAGCAAGCAGGTCGTGCAGGGGCAGAAGGGCTTGGCAGTCGGGCATTGGCTTATACAGTGTGCATCATAGTGACCAGCTGGGCATCCCAGTGACCACCCATTTCTAAGAGACAGGAACAAAGGAACTGGAACAGGCACTGTTACCCAGCCAACTAAGAAACTCGAGGGGGAGCATTTTCTGTTAAAAGCTCAAAGTTGGTCTCCTTCCTGGGTTAGGTGTGGAAAAGCTCCAGCTGCCGCAGCCCGGTGCTGCAAACACATCCACAAATACAGAAAACTGGATCCTGCTGGTGTTAGCGCTCCTGCTCTTCCCTGTCCCAGCTCTGGGACTTCATGGAGATCGCTTGCGGGTTTACAATCCCAGAGTTGCTCCCCTGCCGTGGAGGTGCAGAGGGCCAAGGAAAGTGAGAGAGGATGTTGCCAAGGGCAGGGAAAATGCAACTCAACTGTGGGTTCTCAGCAGCGTGGACCGGGCCCTGGTGCTCCAGAGGGCAGTGCGCCTTCCACCCCGAGTCCCACCGGCAGCACAGGCAGCTAGCAAGATTCAGTCTCGCCTGACTGAAGGTTCTGCGTGCTCGCAGGTTCTGCTCCCAGAATTCCCTGCTGCTCCTGGGGAGAAGCCCCCAGGATTACAGTGGGGACGGCCTCCCAAAGTTTGGAACAGGGACAAATAGAAACCCCTGAGAGGATGCTGGGTGAGGGTCATGGGGCCGAGAACACTGGATCCCGTGGGAAAGTTATGCTTTTCTGCATTGCTTTTCAGTTTAAATTGCCTAAAGTGTTTTATTTTATGTTTAATTGATACATAATAATTGTCCGTGCTTACGGGGGACAGCAAGAGGTGCATTGCATTGTGGCCTTATCAGGAGGGCTACAGGCAAAATCTCATGTTGGAGCTAGAATTGCCCTTAATGCTTGAAGAGCCTTCTCTCAATCCCTCTTTCTCACCCTCTCTCTCCTGCCCTCTCCTCTCTGGTCCTCGCCTTTCCTTTTCTCTTTAAATAAAGAGTAATTTGTTTCTGGGCCCAGAGATTGATGGGCAACAGTAAGTTTCTAGAAGAGAAGAGAAAATAAATGAGTTATTCTATCATTCTTGTATTTTTATTTTGTTTAAGCCTTACAACCCGATAGGCGCTTTTATTTTACATTTTGTCAAACATCAAGTGAAACATGTTACATGGAAAATAAAGCAATGAGGGCCGGCCAAATAGCTCAGTGGATTAAAGCACCTGCAAGCAGGCAGCAGGGGCTGGGGGTTTGATCCCCGGGTCTGCTGTGCTGGCCCCACCCCCAGGGCACTCTGAGACAGCAATTGAGACTGGGCATAGTGGCGCACACCTATAATCCCGGCTCTTGGGAGGCTGTAAACTGGAGACTCGCTACAAGTCCAATCTAGTAGTGAGACCCTGAACACCCTGTAGACCCTTCCCAAAAATACAAAAAAAAGAAAAGAAAGCAATGAGAATGTTAGTTTATGGGGTATTGTTGCACATGGTATGTTAACAGAGAAGTATATTTGTTTTTAGATATTTTTGAATTAGAGAATTTAAAATTGCATAATATGCCAAGAGTGTTAGCATGTAGAACAAATGTCTATGATGTTCTAGAGGCTTAATGTGGGCTCATATGTGTGAATCATAAAATTATCCCAGGAAATGTGTATATTCCTATATTTATTTTTTTGAGGATTCCCTTAAATTGAAGACTGGTTTTCCATTGATGTTGGTGGTTTAAAGTTTCCTTTTTAGACAATTTGTTTAAATAAAAAAGTTGGCTTAAAGATAAAAGGTGAAATGAAAAAAATCACACCAGCCACAGCAAAATTGGGATGGGGCACACGTATGCACACACTCGACGTGTGTGTGACAGTGGGGTACACGCTGGCACACAGAACCCCACTTCTCCGTCTCCATTTTCTCCATTCTTCTTATCTCCCACTGAGAAGCCCAGGAAGAACTTTTGTGCTTCTGAGTTGGGGAGGAAGAGGGATGGGAGGAGCCGGTGGCCGGGGCCACAGGGCCAGAGTCACCTGGGGCTGAACGCTGGGCTCTGTCCCCAGGTCACCACGATGCCCGAGTACCTGAGGAAGCGCTTTGGCGGCAACAGGATCTCCATCACCCTCGCCGTGCTCTACCTGTTCATCTACATCTTCACCAAGATCTCCGTAAGGCAGGGACCTGGCCTGGCTGCGCTGCTGCCTCAGCGGCTTGCTGGGCCTCCCGCCCATCCCCCTCCCTCCTCTTGGGCAGTTGGGGCAGGGTGTTAGAGGAAGGTGGGAGACATCCGGGAGAGGGCAAGCAGGGACAGCGGACACGTGAGAAAGGCCAGGCAGACGCAAGGGCTCCCTCTCCAGGACTCAGCGGGTAGGGTCACTGCGGGGGTTCCAACAGCCCCGCTTGGGACCCGGGTCTTCCCCCTGTGACCTGGCAGTGCTCCGCTCTTAGCTGAGTTACTGACACCAGCAGGGCTTGCCTCTCCTTGCCCTTCAGCTGGCCAGACCTCCTGGACTGTGGCTGAGGACAGAAGCACACGCTGCTCAGCAGGTCTGGCTCAGGCTGCAGGCTGGAACTGGGAGGAATTTGTCCTATGGGCAGAGGAGGATTGGGGAGGAGGCAGAAGGAATTCCACGCAATCCAAGACAATAAGCAGTTCAATTCCAGCCTCAAGCTCAAAGGGCAGTTGTGTGGGGGCATTCACTTGCAGTCTGGTGGGCAGCTATGGGTGTAAGGAAATCCTTGCAGGGCAAGTCCCAACTCCGGAGGGCTTCCAGGTGGAGGACAGGGGGACTGGCCTTCCAGATGGGGGCTGGGGGGAGACCAGTGCAGGCCAAAGCTTGGATGCCTGGGTGAGTACGGCATCTTGGGAAATGGGGAGTGTTCCGGGAGAGCATGGAGGACCCGGAATCCGAGTGAGTAAAGGCAGTGGGGCCGAGACGCAGGCAGACCCTGAAGCGTGGCTGGCACGCCGCACCGCCTCCTGTGTTCAGCGGTTACCCCGGGGCAACGGGGCCGCGCTCAAGAATGCTAACGGGGGAGAGGAGGCCAGCGTGACAGTGATGGGACCGTGGGAGTGGCGGTATGGAGCATAGAATGCAGGAGGTCCAAGGTTGGAGCTGGAGGACCATAGGGAAGCCCTGTGTGTGCCTGGGGAGGGTCTGAGACCCCAGACCTGGGATGAGATGAACCCTGATGATGATGATGATGATGATGATGATGATGATGATGATGACGATGACGATGACGATGATGATGATAATGGCTCGTCTGTATCTGTCAGGATCTGCGTTGAATCCTGACAAAAGTTTGCCGCACATTTTCATGCGTTCGTCCACTCGTGCGTGCACGCGTGCATTCACCTGTCAATCCCGCGCGTCCGCAGGTAGACATGTACGCAGGGGCCATCTTCATTCAGCAGTCCTTGCACCTGGACCTGTACCTGGCCATCGTCGGGCTGCTGGCCATCACGGCTCTGTACACCGTGGCGGGTACGGACGACGGTGCGGGACAGTGCGGGGGCGGGGGCGGGGGCGGGAGAGGCGACGGGCGGGAGGGGCCGACCGGTCTTCTCCCGGCGCACCCTGATGCTGCTCTGCGCTTTGACCTCATTAGTGAAACCGTGTCACATCCCCACGGCTGGTAAGAGTTCTCGGCATTATCCAGGGAGAGGAGGAGTTGTGGAGATGCTCACACCTGCGTAGAGGCTTTGCCCAGTCAGGGCTTCTTAGAAGCTACATTCTGCACGCGCGCATTCACGTACGCGAGGCAGGCCTCCAGCATCAGCGATCGCCATAGGGAGCCTGAGCTTGGCGGCCTTACCTTTCTCCCTCAGACGTGTATCCTAGAAAAGTGCCCCACGTAGACAGCGCCTCCATAAGGAACCATTTGCTAATACTTACATTCTCATCTGCTCCAGCTTCCTCCCTCTGTCTTTTCCCTGTGTGGGGGCCGTCTCCTCCCCTCCTGCAGATCGCGGGCTCCACGAGGTCTCTGGGTCCGTCACGCAGAACCCGTTGGCCACTCAGCAGACCTCTGGGGACTGGTGGAATGAAACGCCCACCACGGTGCCAGGCAAATGATGCCGGGTGCCCAGCACACAGCAGTGGAGACGAGAGGGTGGGCGACGTGGGTGTCAGCCTGAGCCTCAGGGTCTTGGAACCTTCTGGCTGAGTCCCCCGAGGACCGCAGAGCGAGCACCAGCATCCAAGGCAGGCCCCTGCCCCTGCACGAGAGGCCCTCCCTGCTGAGCAAGGGCAGGTCAAGCGCACCACACCCACTTGGATGGCTTTTTAAAATTGCACTGTGACGTGTCCTGTAGTAAATGTTATTACCTAGGAAGGATGTCCCGTCCCCTGGGGAAGGGGGAAAGAGGGAGGAGCAGAAGAGACCGGGAAGACTGCTTTGTCCAGATGCCAATGGATCTGCTGCCATTACTGTCCCTGTGAGGATTCTACCAGGTGGCAAGCCCAGCAGAATCCCCTCAGGCAGACCACGTGACCTTGTGACACAAGTCCAAGGGGTTTTCGAAAGTCTGTCCTCCCCGCCTTTTGCCATGTTAAAAGATCATTATTCTGGAGCTTGAGGACTGTGGCCCAAATGTCACTTTCTGCTTCAGTGACAAATTGTAGAACAAACCACCCACACACTTAGGCATTTAAGCAGCAGTGGTTCCTCTCCCCCTCGGCTGCGTGGGTGCTGGGAGGCTGGTTACGAGTCACATGTGGCTTCACTGGACAGGTGGCATCTGGGACGCTGGCGGGAACGAGATGGTGCTCCTCACACGGGGGGTGGCCACCTGGGGCTGTGGGCCAGGCTTTGTCTCCGCAGGAGCAGCGGCCTCGGTTGGGTTAGGCCAGGCTTCCTCGGGCCAGGGCAGCGTGAGAGCCAGAGCGGGGGCCAGGGCTGCTGAGGGTGTGGCCGGGAGCTGCGCGGTCCCGCTTCCTTCATATCCCCGTGGACTAAAGCAAGTCACAGGCCCAGGCCCTGGGTAAGAGGAAGCAAAACCAGCTTCCTCTCAGCATGAGGGGCACAGCCAGGTGGTACAGCTGGTGCACTGGCTGCCATTACTGTCTCCTCAGGGGTCTTGCGCGTCCTGGGTCTCGCTGCCCACGCCCACCTCTGCGTTCCTTCCCACAGGTGGCCTGGCCGCTGTGATCTACACGGACGCTCTGCAGACTGGGATTATGCTCGTAGGGGCTTTCACCTTGATGGGCTACAGTAAGTGGAATCCGGGGGCCGGGGTGGCTCAGTGGATGACAGCAGGACCCTGCTCCTGCATCACTGGAACAAGCCGCCCCAAGTGTCCAGAGGGCATACCACACGTGGGGGTGGGGCGGGGACGTCTGGAGCGGTCCTTTGCCTGAGGCACGGTTGTGTTAGCTCGAAGACAACTGTGTGCTCCTGGAAGTTTACTATTCTATCTGTAAAAATGTCTCTTCTGGCACTGATATGATAAATGATTGTAAATAAAAGGGCCTGTGAAGGGACAGCTCTTACAGAAGAATTCCAATTAATCTGTGCAGATTGGGCATGAGTAATGGAGAATCACCATTTGAATCCAGAATAATAATGGTTGCAGATTATTAAACCTGAGTCTTGGGGTTCAAAATAGTGGGTGAGAGGAATGAAAAAGATGAGGTGCTTGCAGAATGTCCCAGGTGTTGCAGCCCGAGCATTTACTGGTTACAGAGGGGGAAAAGGGCCACTTAGCGGACAGACCTGGCACCCCCATAACTCAGTGGTTAAGGTATGGACCTTAACTGCCACGAACAAGACACGAGGGAACCACGAACTCCTGATCGGAGGCCCAGGAGGACGTGAAATCACCTCTCTGCTGTTCCGGCCCAGAACACATAACCTCAGCGTGATCAGGAGCAAGCACCAGACCGCCCCACTGAAGGACAATTCACAACACATCTAGCCAGTATTCTTCCAGAGTCAGGGGCATCAGAAACAGAGGCCCGGTGTAGTGGGCAGGCCTGTGATCCCAGCGCTCCGGAGGCTGAGGCAGGAGGACCACTGGGAGTTGGAGGCCAGTATGGGCTACGAAGTGAGCTCGAGGCCAGCCTGAGCTGCACAGGGAGACCCTGTCTCAAAAAGACAGACTGACAGACAGACAGACAGACAGACAGACAGAGAAAGAGGGAAGGAGGGAGGGAAGGAGGGAGGGAAGGAAGGAGGGAGGAAGTAGAAGCACATCTACTCTGGAGAGGTAGGTGAAGAGGTAGAAATGGAGGGGACACAAATGACAAATGCAATGTGGCCAGGAAGACTGGACCCCAGAAGAGAAGAAGGACATTAGTGGTGAAGCCTGGAGCAGTCCTAGCACAGGTATAGTGGCTAGCAGTATTGTGCCCATTTTGTCATAGTCCATCCAGCTTCTATAATAAAATATCGCACGGTGGGGGGCTTCTAACCAACAAGCACTGCTCAGAGCTCCGGAGGCCGCGAAGTCCAAGGTCGAAGGGCCAGCAGTTTTAGGGTGCAGTGAGCCATGCTTGTGTCTCATGTGGGAAATGCTAGCCAGCCCTCTACTAGCCTTTTAAGAAGGGTTCCACCGTTAGGACCTAGTTGCATCCAAAAGCCTCCACCACATTTGGGGTTTTTTTTGCTGGTACCAGGAATTGAACTGTGGACCTTGTGCTTGCTAGGCAAGCACTTACTCTACTGAGCTATCTCCCTGGCCCAAGTTCCACCATCTTGGGTTGGATTTCAGTATATGAATGGGGGGAGGCATAAATATTTAGACCATAGCAAATGTTAATTTCTTGGTGTGTGTGTGTGTGTGTGTGTGTGTGTGTGTGTGTGTATTACTGGGGATTGAACCCAGAGCCTTCACACTGAACTATATCCCCGCCCTTTTAAAATCCCCCATTCTGGGACAGTGTCTCACTAAATTGCTCCGCCTCGGCTTGAGCTTGCGGTCCTCCTCCTTTGGCTCCCAGAATGCTGGGGGTGCAGGTGTGCACCACCAGGCTCAACTTAATTTCTTAGTTTTGATAACTGTACTATGGTTATACGAGAGGATAAAGTCACGTGTAGGGTGTGTGAGAACTCTGTGCTATTTTGGCAATTCTGTGTCTGAGATTATCTCTATAAAATATAACTGCTGTTGGAACACGTGAAACCCAGATATGATATCACATTTGATATGAATATTGGTATTGGTATTACTATCACTTTCTGTTTTAGATTAGAAAACAAAGGCACTACCTCCCAAGCGACTCACCCAAGATCACACGGCTCCTACAGCTAGGATTCGAGCCAGGCCTGGTGGCATGGCACTGTAGGCCCAGCTTCTTGGGAAGCTGAGGCAGAAGGGTCTCTCAAGGTCAGGCGTCTGAGACCAACCTGGGCAACATGTCAAGGGCCTGACTCGCGCGCCCTCCAAATCACTGGGAGGAGCTCCAGTAAGTTCGTGAGAAGAGTCTAGAAGAGTCCAAGGGCGCAGGCGCAGTCGCTACTTTTGTTGTCCCTTTTTACCCCATTCCAATTTTGTGCCTGCCACTTTTGTCTTTCAAAAGAAAACTCAGAGAAGCACAGGACAGTGTACTCATTTCATAAGCACAGCAACAAAACTGCCAATTGTTAACTTTTTGTGAGAAAAATTTTGTTTCTTATGAAGAAGAAAACATGTAAATACACATCAGCCTTTCTTTGGGCCATTTTGGGCTGTGTTCATTTCCTTGTGGCAGTGGAAACGGAGGTCTTTGTTTAAATGGCGAGGGACCCACAAAAACTCACCAGGCTGGCCAGCTGGGGCTTGATCCCCATGGAAGCCACAGCGGTCCCGAGCTGTGCCTCAGGGCAGCAGAGGTGGCCGCCTCACTGAAGACCTGAAGCCTTCTGCTCCTGGAGGGAGGGGATCTGAGGTGCTTCCTGCCTTCCCGGTGGCAGCTGCTCCTCCCACCTGCTCCCAGGCAGGAGAATGTCGCCTTCAAGCCTAGCCCTAGGAAACAACTTAGTGACTTAGGCAGATCCTATCTCTGAATAAAAAAAAATTTAAAAGCTGGTGAGGTAGGCCAGTGTGAAGGCCCTTGGTTCAATACCTGGGACTGGGAGGGAGGGGAAGGTCAGCAATCTAAGATGTTTTGCCTGAAAACCTTCTTTGAAAACCTTGCATCTGTTTCTTCCCAGTAAGGTCAGGCTCTGCCCCTTTATTTGCTAGGTTAACTTGCAGATTGTGGATTTTTTTTTTTTTTTTTTTTTTTTTTTTTTTGCAGAACCGGGGATTGAACTCAGACCCTTGCACTTGCTAGGGAAGCACTTATTCCACTGAGCCCTCTCCCTGGCCCCGGATTGTGGTATTTTAAGGGCTATCGAGTATAAGGGCCTGGAAGAAAAGACAAGCAAACCACCCTAAGAGAGGGAAGATACTGAGTGGACACACGGATAGTCTGGGGGAACTGACCAGGCACTGGAACTGTTTCCTTCAGCTCTTTTTTCTTTTGTCCTATCTCAGTAATATCCTACATTCAATTAGCAGTTTGTTTCAAAAGATTACAGGAAGAAGCACTATGAAAAATTTTGGATGATCGTGACAAGGGAAGATACTAAAGAATTCAGAAAGAAGTGGTGGACTAAGAAAGATTAGAAATCATACTGGCGCATTCCTTTCTTCTATAAGTAAAATACCAAAGATAATAGAGCAAGAGAGACAGAACTTTATGGAGAAATCTGCAGCCCCAGAGGCAGATGTCTAGCCAGTTATTTCTTTCTTTTTTATTTTGGCGGAACCGGGGATTGAACTCAGACCCTTGCGCTTGCCAGAGAAGTGCTTATTTTACTGAGCCATCTCCCCAGCCCCTAGCCAGTTATTTCTGAGATAAAGCTGCAGAAGCTTTCCGGACTATGTGAAGACACAGGATAGAAGCAAAATTAAACTCAGAGCTCATGTTATGATTTTTGAAAAATGATAGTAAATGATCCGTTGAGATAGTTATGGATCCAGTGCCAGCCAAATAGCTCAGTGGATTAAAGCGACTACAAGCAGGCACAGAGGCCGGGGCTTCGATCCCCAGCCTCCTGTGCCAGCCCCGCCCCCGGGGCATACTGAGATGGCAATTGGGACTGGGCGTGGTGGCGCGTGCCTGTAATCCCAGCTCTTGGAAGGCTGTAAACAGGCGGATTACTACGAATCCGATCTAGTAGTGAGACCCTGAACACTCTGTAGACCTTTCCCTAAAAAATACCCCCCCCAAAAAAATGAAATAGTTATGGATCCAAAAATTATTATGAGGCTGGTTAAGGCAACTGTTATATAAACAGTATAACAAGTTAATAAACGCTATCTGAGACCAAGTATGGTGGCACATGCCTGTAATCCTAGCATTGGGGAGGCTGAGACAGGAAGACCACTACGAGTCTGAGCCGCATAGTGAGACCCTGTACCAAAAAAAAAAAAAAAAAAATTAAAAAAAAATTAAAATGTACAATAGATATTGTGAAATGGGAAGAAATTGTTCAAAAGGAAAAAGGAACTAGGATGACAGGAAAAAATACAAGTATTTTTAATATTAATATAAGTATCGAATATGCAATTAATACTTAATGTCTCTTAGTTCACAGAAAAGCAAGGCTTTGCTGATATCAATTCGAGAAAGTTTAATGTCCATTATTTTATACTCTAAGTAACTACTTCAAAGCTAACAATATAAGGCGTATTAATGGATGTTATTTTCCCCAATCTTTTTATGAAATTTTGTTTTTTTCATTAAAAACCCTTGAGATTATGGATTATTTAGAAAAAAATGATGAGACATTACATTTCATAATTGATAAAGTCAAAAGTAAATGTTTACTCCTGTAAACACTTACATTCACCAACATGAAATCCCAAAATAATGCGTTAGAATTGCAAAAAACGACAAAATTCGTTCCTCTGATAGGAAGAAAACAGTGAAAGATAGGAGTGGCAAATCCAGCCAAGGAAAGGCAGGGCAGTGCAGTACAACTAGGGATGAGGAAAGCAGCTGAACACAGCCGCCAGACGCTGGACGGCTGTGACTGCGCAGGGTCATGCTGCTAATATAAAAAGGCGCGCCTGAAATTCATGCCTTTCCTAGAAAGCACAAATTATTTAATTTCATTCAAGAGAGAGTAGGAAATTTTTACTTTTTAAAATTTTATGAAAGGATTTTTTTTTTTTTTTAAATTGAATTCATGACCTTGCGCTTGCCAGGCAGGCACTGTGCCGCTGAGCTCCGTCCCTTGCCCATGATAGGAAATCCGAATGGTTCAATTTCTATAAAAGAAATTAGAATATTTGTTTAAAATTAGAAATCATCCTGGTAGAATTCAAAAAGGATGCTCTCTTATTATTTAATGCAAAATAAAATATAACCCATGAGATGTATAGTACCTTGAAAAGAGGTAAAATTATTATTTGTAAATGTTTTATGACTGGTTACCTAGGGGCAAAAAGAAAGAAAGAAAAAAAACAGGGCTGAGGAGATACCTCGGTGGTCTAACCACCTGCCTGGCAAGCGCCAGGTCCCAAGTTCGATCCCCAGTACCGCATGCCATGGCACACGCCTGTAATCCCACCGCTGGGAAGGCTGAGACAGAAAGGTCACCATTATGGGTCACTCAGACTAGGAACCAGATCAACCAGATTGGAATTTAAGAAGCCGTTTATCACTGAGCTCCAGCACCCGCCCCCCTCAGCTCTCACACAGGAGAGGCCCAAAAGGCCTTGCCCAGGAGGCAGGGGGGCTTTTAAAACAGGGTACGACATTCACTTTGGTAAACACATTTATCCTCTGACACAAAATGTGGCCTTGCATAACCCGAGGCTGCAAGGGGCTAAGCCCATTTAGTTTCCTTTTGAAGTCATCTCTGGAAACGAACTTTATTTATAGGAATTAGTGAGGAAAGAATTTTATCTTAGCAAACTGCATGAAACAGCCTCTAGTTACTAAACAACCTAGCACACAACAGAAAACACAAGATGGGGCGGGGAGATGGCTCAGTAGAGGAAGTGCTGGCCTGGGAAGCACAAGGGTCTGAGTTCAATCCCTGGTTCGGCAAAGAAAGAAAACACAAGATTTACATATATAGCCTAAAATGTGAGTTAACTCAGGACAGCCACTATGAGTCGGAACTGTGTAGTGAGACCTTGTATCAAAAACAAACAGGACATAGGGACTGGTGAGATGACTCAGTGGTCTAGGGCACCTACTTGGAGCAGGCTTAGCAAAGCACAGGGACCGCTGTTCAATCCCCAGCACCACATGCCAGCCAGCCCTGCCCCCTGGTGGGCTGAGCTGGTCTCACACACACACACACACACACACACACACACACACAAATAAATAAAATAAATAAATTTAAAAACAAAACAAAACAAAACAGGACATAGAAAAACTGACCCGAAAGGAGTTTAGTAAATCAAGACTGGTGTCGAAAGTCGATCCGTTTTTCCACTAAGGAACAGTGGGGTTCGGTTGGTCCCAGGAGGCGGGTGCGAGTTCTCCCCACTCCCAGGGCGGGAGACGGACCCTCCGGGATGGCAGGGGTTAGCTCAGGCCGCGCATCTCTCGGTGCACTCAGACCCCACGAACCGACACCAGGGAGGAGGTCAGAGGCAAAAGAGTGCTTCCTCAGGGCAAGCTTCTGATCGCGGGCTCGTGGCCCAAATTCAGGGCCTGTGAATTTGGATGGGAAAAAAAATACCCCTATTTTCATAAATCTATAATTAGAGTAATTATCCATTATTAAGTAGGCTACACACCACGGCAATAGGGGTAATACTGGGACTCTGATACCAAGCTAGCCCAAGTATTTTTATATTACATTAAAGTCGTTACTGATGTATGCAGATACGTTTCATCCTCAAAGCTACTTAACTAAATCGTTAACTAGAACTATCGCTACATCTTACTATGCAATGATGCAAATATTGTCACGCTTTTATATTTTGGTGATCGCCTTTAATCTGGTTGGACCTATATTTGCAATCCTCCTGCCTCAGCCTCCCAGAGTGCTGGGATTATAGGTGTGCGCAGTCATGCCCAGCTAATCCTCCGTGTTTTGTGCTATCCGTTTAGAAACATCATCCCATAACAAGATCCAGCATAACTACCAAAGACATAAAAAGGGAAGGGGTTAGCAGCCCTCAAGGCGCTGTCTGTGGGCCTCTTTGCCACAGACCGGTCCGAGTCCTGGAAGACTGAGGCTCTCTGTGCCTCCTAGGTTTTGCTGCGGTTGGCGGGATGGACGGCCTGCAGGAGAAGTACTTCCTGGCCCTGGCTAGCAACCGCAGCGAGAACGGCAGCTGCGGGCTGCCCCGCGAGGACGCCTTCCACATCTTCCGAGATCCAGTGACGTCAGACCTGCCGTGGCCCGGGATTCTGTTCGGCATGTCCGTCCCGTCTCTGTGGTACTGGTGCACGGATCAGGTACAGGGCTCTCCGGGGGCGGAGGGCAGGGTTGCCGGCCCTCCCAGGCCTCCTGCCTCCTCAGTGTTTTCCCCACCTCCCTGGCTACTTCCCTTCTCTCTTGGTCTACATGCTGGGTTGCTTCCTGCTCCACTAATGCCTAGAGCAATCCAAAGCTGCCAACAACCTTTGCGCAGTTCAGGGAAACGGAATAGAGATTGTACAATCCACGAGGTGCTGCGACTTCCAGTGGAGGCGTCCTTTTGCTTAACAAAGCTTCCACAGGCATCCGCTCAGTGCCAGGCACGGCTCTGGGCTCTCAGAATAGGGAGCACACGAATCAGACAGAAGCCTCTGCCTGGCCGGGGGAGATAGCTCAGCGGTCTCGGGAAGTACCGCATGCCATTTGCACGCCTGTAATCCCAGCGCCAGGGAGGCCAAGACAGGAGGGCCACTACCAGTCCAGACTGCAGAGTGAGACCCTGTACCAAGTACATAAGTAAAAGATTAACCAAACTTCCCTCTGCCTGCACCATGTACAGGGGGCTGACAGAATAATTAAGTTTGTCACGTGAGATGTCAAAATGTCACTTTTTAAAGGTAAAATGAATGGGGTGACACACAATTTAAAATAGGATGACGAGGAGAGGGGTAATAGAGACTGTTGAGCAGAAACAGTTGGATTTATTAGGTTTTATAAAATTTAAGCATATGGATTATAATTATTGGATAACTGCATATCTTTGTATACTGTAGTGATCAGCTCAGGATGCTTAGCTGACCCGTCAGCTTAAATATTCATCGTGTGGGCCAACGAGATAGCTCAGCGGACAAAGTGCCTGCTTTGGCAAGTGCAGGGACCAGGGTTCAATCTGCAGTCCCTCATGTGGGGTGAGTGCCCTGCCCCTGGGGTGCGCCGAGCTGGTGACAAGAGTCTGGGCGTGGTGGCACATGCCTGTAATCCCAGCGCTGGGGAGGCTGAAAACAGGAGGCTCACTATGAGTCCAATCTATGTAGTGAGACCCTGTACCAAATACACAAACGAAAAAAAATTATTCTTTTGTTACGAGAACATTCAAAATCCTCTCTTCTAGGGATCTTTATTTATATGATAAACTTTGTTATGGGTAATTACTCTCCTGGGTAGTAGCACCCATCTGTTTAACAGAATATTTTCTTTTTCTTTCTCTTTTTCTTTTTGGCACCAGGAATTGAACTTGGGACCTTTCTCTTCCCAGACAGGCACTCAGGCTGCTGAGCTACAGCTCCGGCCCTGTTTCCTTTTTGTAGCTGTGGCTTTGCTCCATAAACCAGTCCTCTTTGCCCTCGCCTCCTCTCCCTACGCACCGCATATAGGAGGGGCACCACGCGGCAGTTTTCTTTCTGTGCTGGTTTATTGAACTTAACATATAACTTAACGTTATGTTCTCCGGGCCACTCCCTCTCGCTGCAAGTGGCAGGACTTCACCGTTTTGCGTGCGTGTGTGTGTGTGTGTGTGTGTGTGTGTGTGTGGCTTAGCCCACCCTGGCGGTGGGGCTGGTATGGCATGTGGCAGGCGTCCAGCCGCGGCCGTGGGCTTGCCTAAGCAGGCGCTTTAGAGCACTGAGCTACCTGCCGGCCCAGGACTCCACCTGGCCATCGCCGAGCAGTGTTCCACGGCGCACCTACGTGTTTCCTGCCCCTGCCCCATCTGATGACAGACACAGGTCCATTCCGTATCTTGGTGTTAGCACGCACTCTGGGTGGTGGGCTGTTGAGTTGGACAGCAGTTCTACTATTATTTTTAATCTCTGTGGGAATTCTTGCGGCCTTCCATGGATAGAGGCCAGCGGGTGCTCTCTGCGACCCTGGAGGAAGAAAGCTGTGGCGCGGGGAGCAGCCAGCGAGAAGGCCTGGAGGCAATCGGCAACGTGTGGAAAGAGAAACAAGAACGGAGAAGAGCAGCGCAGACGCACGGCTGCGGCGGCCTGGACCGCGCGGACGTTTGCTGTGCGCGCAGGAGCGATTCTGCGCCGGCCTGCGCCAAGCTAGGAGAGCCGAGACCCGCGGCGGGAAGCGCGGCCGCCGAGCGAGCGGAGACTTGGGAGCGCCTCCCTGGACGCCTCTCTGCGCCTGCTCGGACCTGGAACCGGGTCTGGGTCGCCCGTGCAGGTGCTGTTCCCAGCTACGTGGGAGGCCACACATCCGCGTGCCCCTGGGGGAGCTGCACTGCACGGGGCCGCCGAGAGGTTCATTAAGGCAGCGACTGTAGGATTGGAGAGCTGAGATGACGCAGGAGACATCGCGGATAACGGAGCCCGCTCCCACCGTGGGCCAGGAATCCTCTGATTGAAAGCAGGCAGCCCCTTTGGGAGACGGACTTCTCTCATCCTTAGCAAATCTCAGTGGGAGAGCCCACGAGAGCCCCCACAGGCCCAGGTTATCTCCGTGGATTTTAAACTTAACAGGCCTGCAGGTAAGCTCAAGCGTCGTCACCGCCGAGCCACTGTTTCCTCATCTGTTAGGTGGGGTCACTAAAGGTTACAAAATAGGCGTGCGGGAGCAACTTGGTCATAGCTTTTTGCTGCAGAAACATTGGACGAAGGAGCCATTGCAAGCGCTACCCCTTGGCTGTGGCTTGTTTCTGTGCTTGCACTACGCTTCAGATTCCATTCGCCACAGTTCCTGGGGGCAGCCCCTTACTCCACATGGAGTCCCCCAGAGGCCACCTCTAGTCCACTCTTGGTAGGAGCCACTTCCAGGTCCCCGTCTCGGCCCAAGAAGCCGATATTTATCATCCCGAAGTTACATTATAGGACTCCCATCGAGTTGATTCCAATCTACCACTTACAATGCAACCCACGGCGAAAATAAAGACACTAAATTATATTTTCAATCATCGGGGAGTCAAGCCATGAAATGGCTTCCCGGAACAAAGAGAGCGACCCAGGGCCTCACCCGGTTTTTATTCAGTAGGGGAGTGGCTTGAGGAGGATTGACTGAGAGTTGTGGGAAGTAGGTGACCGTTGTGAGCTGAGCTAGGGGGCGGCCTACATTTACCTCCACCATATGCAGAGAGGATGTGCAGAGAGAGTAATCTGCATTATACTATTATGCCATATAGAGATAGCACCCAGTGTTTTGGGGGGTCCGGTGCTTCAGCTCTGATGTAGTCTTTCAAGCCCCAGGAAGTCATAGCCTCTATCTCAAGGCTCTATCCCAGATGGCGGTGAGGAGCCTTGGCTCCTTGTCCTGTCTTGACCCAGCTCACATTAAAGAGCAGCAGGTGTAGGTTGTTACCAGGGAAACACTCACGCGGCCTTCAAAGACTATCCCCAGCACCTCAGCTGGACCACTATGCATTGCTTAAGGCCAACTGAAGGATAACCAGAAGTCCCAGCCAGCTCTGTACAGAACAGTACGAGGAAATAGGGTCAGGCTCAGTCAGCATGGAGATAGTCGCTCTTCTCTCAAGGAGAGCTGCTCAGGTGGCCCTCCACGTACTCTGTGTTGGACAAGAGCCTAAGGACTTAGTCCAAGAGGACTTGATCCTCTAAATGCCAGGCAAGCCCAGAAGGGTCAGAAGCCAGCCCTCTCCACCCTTTGACTTTGGCCGATCCTAAGGGATTTTTGCTGAGCCAGGTCCCACAAAGTCCAAAGGACAGGCTGATTCACTGTGCTGGTGCCGCCCAGGAAGCACAGGTCACTGTCACTTCCTCAGGGCTCATGTAGAATGCAAGAAAGCCAAACCTCGGGCCAGGAACACGTTTCCAGTCACCCTGGCAGAGATGCCAAAGGGAAGCAGGGCCTGAGAAGAGTGACGTCTTTAACCATTTGCAGGCGCTGGGTGCTCTATCAGCCACGGAGCTGAGCATCTCCTCTCCCTTCATTCTGCTCGCTTTCCTCGGGAGCTGTGTTCCGTTGCTAGGCTGGGGGCTGTTGCAGAGGGTGACACTCTGCTCCCTGCGCTTGTGGGTAAGAGAAGCCAATTCTTTTCAGTCACAGCCCCAGGTCTCCCTCCAGGAGAAAGGGCTTTGTTTCATGGAGCTGTAAGCTCTTTCCTGTCTCTGCCTTCTGGTGCCTCAATGAAGCAGTAATCCCACTACTGGACATATGTCTAAGGGCACTGAAGACAGCGTGACAAAGAGACCCCTGCACTTATGTGCTCGCTGAAGCGCTAGCCACGATCACCAGGTGTCTACCGGCAGATGAATGGCTAAAGAGACTGGCCCGCAAACATGATGGAAAATTACTCAGCCATGAATGGGCAGGGGGGGCCTATCATTTGTAACAATTGGACTGAACCTGGAGGATGTTTGTGAAGTGAAAAGTCAGACGCAAAAGGACAGAGCCCCACACAATGTCACTCATATATGGGAGCTAAAGAAGTTACGCTCAGAGGCAGAACACAGGGGACCGGAGGCTGGGGGATCGGAGAAGGGTTGGTCACAGTTTAGTTAGGAGGAACGAGGCCAAGAGATCTGTTGTCCAGCATGGTGGCTGTAGTTAATAACAGCAAACAGAAAATTGTTTAAAAAGTGAATTTTTAGTGTTCTCACTATCAAAAAAAGGGGAAAGAGGAGCCAGGGAGGTGGCTCAGTAGAATAAGCACTTGCCTGGCAAGCACAAGGGCCTGAATTCAATTCCTGGTCCCCCCCACCAAAAAAGGGGGGGGGGAGAAATAAAGAATCACATGAGGTTATCCATACATTAATTATCTCTGGCTAGCCATTCCACAATGCATATACTGACATGTTGTACATGATAATTTTTTTTCCAAAAAAAATAACTTTCTATGATTTTTTTTTTGTTTTTTTTTTTTTTGGTGCAGGGTCTATAGGGTCTCACTACACAGATCCGACTTATAGTGATTCTGTTTTTAGCCTCCCAAGTGTTAGGATTACAGGCTCGAGCCATCATCGCTGTCTCAGCGCCCCCTGGGGGCGGGGCCGGCACCACTGACTGGGGATTGAATCTCCTACCCCTGCGTCTGCCTAAGCAGGCACTTTAATCCACTGAGCTACCTGGCCAGCCCAGAACTTTCTATGTTACCCAGGCGCTTGTCAAATTCTTGGGCTCAAGCAATGTTCCTGCCTCAGCCTCTGGAAGAGCTTGGACAGTAGGCATGGGCCATCATGTCCAGCTGCCAAATAAAAAATACATTAATATTTGAAATTCTTTTTAAAAAAGAGTATGTTATCACCTGAAAACCTCACACTTTGTTAGCACATTCTTAAAGTATTCTAGCCTCAGCGTATGTGTTTACGGTCCTGAGGTAATAGTTAAGCCACCTGTAAAAGGCCAGAGAGCTTCCCACCCTTGAAGAAAGGAATACTTGTTCTCCCTCCTTTGCTTAAATAAGGTAAGGCCACATTTCAGAGATTTTCATGGCTCCAGGTGACAGAAAATCAGCTAGCTGAGGAAGAGGGTGTGGACTCGCTAGCTTACGGAATACGAACTGCAGGGAGCTGAGCGGGCCTCCAGAGACGGGCATCTCCGTTTGGTTTCCCTTTCCATCTTCATTCTCCCAACTTGCTCTGACCTCTTGTTGCAGACCCTATAGAAAAAAGGCTCAAAACTCTGTGAGCTTCAAGTCTAAATATTTTGGATTTGCCTGACTTGGCAAGCTGGGGTTTGTCTGTAGGCTCTGTGGGGCCTCCGGTAGGCCTTGCAGCTCTGCCTATGATGCTAGCATAGCTGTGGGTGAGGATTTCAAAACTCCACAAGGAGACCTGACTGATGTCCACCATAAAAGCCAAAGAGGGGGGGAGACAGAGAGAGAGAGAGAGAGAGAGAGAGAGAGAGAGAGAGAGAGAGAACTAGGAAGAACCTAGTTTTGCCCCATTGGCCCTAATATGACAGTGGTCACAACACAACATCTTCCTCTGTGTTCACTGAGCCCTCGTAAAGGTGCTGGTAGGTCATCAGGGCCCTGTAGCCTCCAGACATATCAAGACTCACAACCTAAGAGAAGAGCAAAGTTTGGAGCTTGAGATGGTTCATCCTGAATGAAGCCCAAAGGAAGGAATTCCTGGGGACCAGACCCAAACCCAGCAGATGCTCTGGAATATCCCCTTAAGTAGATTGGAGGGATCCACTAGTCTCTTGGTCCCTGGGAGAAAATAGCAAGGGTATTTAGGAATAAAGAGGAGAGATGAGAGCTGAGGTCATGTGGGGGCCTGCCTACCTGATGCGCAAAGGACCTGCGCAGAAACAGTAGAGGTGTTTATGTATACTCTTGTGAAGTTAGTATCGTGAGACACAAGGTTGCTCAGCAACTAATGACTGAAATTGCTCAGGGAGGATGCTTTTCTCAAAGCTGAGGTAGCTTGACTGCGTTAGGCACTGTAGCCTTGTCCTGCTCTCTTTCATATGACACATTTCCAGCTGCAGCAGCCCCTGACAGATGAACCTTACTTAGGAAGACCCACTTGCACCCACTCAAGGGAGAGGCCTTGGAGAGGGGTCAGGGTAAGCTCCAAGCGCCCCTGGGGCAAAAGCTGTAAGATCTGATGCTCCAATACAGATGGTAGCAATAGTGGGGACCCTTTCCTTAACTCCCACTCAGCAGAGCTTCAGTTCTAATCTAGTCTCATTCTCCTTGCTATCTCAACCTGTGCTTTTCCAACACTGGTTCCTTCTGCCACCAGAAAAGAGCTGGTCACGGACAGTTCCATGTGCCCAGCTGCACCTCCACAGCCCTCCTGCCTCCGGGTGGAGCCCAGTGCTTCTGAACAGCTCACCTACAGCCCCGCTGTGGCCCCCATGTCAGAGCTCCGCACTCTTCTGCTTTGTTGACCTACTTAGACTTCTTCCTCTAATTTCTTCCACCACCAGCAGCGATAATGGTAACTGCGCTCACCACTGCTCTTCTTAAGAACTCAGGGATTCCTCAAAATGCACACACCATTGGTAGCCATCCGCACTTCATCCACTCCATTCATTCACTGAAACCCAGAGTGTGCTTTCCGGATTCAGAGACCCATGCCCTCATTGTATTTCTGTGCAGGACCTCGCCTCCCTTCCTCTCCACCCTGTCATAGGAGAGTTTGTGCATAATTACTGCGAGAAGCACACATGGAGATAAGGTGGGCGGGTGACAGATGCCATGACAGATGAAGATGTCATTCCTAGGGCTGGGCCTGTATCACACATCTGTAATCCCAGCATGTAGGAGGCTGAGGCAAGAGGATTATGTGTTTGAGTCCAGCCCAAGCTGCCTAATGAGACATTATCTCACTAAAATTAAAACAAAAAGTAAACACACACACACACACACACACACACACACATACAAGACACACAAATCTCTCCCCTCCTTCTGCAGAGCTGAATTACATTTTTTATTCCTCTTAGTTCTTTTGTTTTTCAACAGAAATGTCACTTATCAACAACTACCTGGCTACTATTTCTTTCAGTGTTTGACAGCTGGAGAATGACTCAGGCGGGTGGCCAGCTGTGACCAGGGTCTCTGAGCTCAGATGGCTGAACAGGCTGTGTCCAGAGGGGCTGGGTGCCTTTCCTCTACACTTGCTCACCTGGCTGGGTTTGTCGCTGTCTGCAGTTGGATCATTAGCAGAAGTCACTTGTTTTACATTGTCATGCCTCGACAATTATCTGACATGGTTCACTCCCACGCATTTTGCGGATGGTACACACGTTCCCCAAGGTGACATCTCACCCACTGTGCCTCCAAATATGTGTATATTTCAGCTGTGGGATTTAATAAATTATTAAGGGTGTGGTGGCATGGGAATCCCACCTCTGGACACGCTTCCTATGAAGGACTATTTGATGACTTAGAAAAAATAATAGTCTAAGCCTAGAAAGGTTTTCGAGAGCGTACATGTCTGAAGGCAGGAGGCGGCCAGCGGTTACTGTGCATCGGGCAGTCACTATGTGCCGGACACTCGCTCGGTCTTCTAAATGCTTTTAGTTCCCTTGACCATGCAAAGTGTATTGATGTTATGCTCCTGGCAGATTAAGCCAAGGCAAAGAGGCACAAAGCTGCCTGCTCAGAGCCACATAGTTGGGAAGTGGGGGGTGGGATCCTAACCCACTTTGGCTCCAATGCCAGAGTCACTTGTCAGCCTGGCAGAGTGTGGCGGAAGGGCTCACTGGAAAGGACTTCCATTCCTTCACTTCTGCTTTGCTTTCCTCTGCGATGACCTCAGTCTGAAAGTGGTTTCCTAGTGTGATGGTGGAGAGGTAGCCAAAAGCTTCACATGACCCCACAACTCACAGTTCTCCCAGAGGCTCTAGGCGTCGGGCATCTTGTCCCTTTGCCTCTATTAGGGAAAATTTCCAAGAAGAGCTTTAATTGGGCTGTCATAGGTACACTTTTTCCTTACCTGATGGTGGTGGTGATAGTGATGATGGTGGTGGTGGTGATGGTAGTGGTGGCAGTGGTGGTGGTGGTGGTGTTGGTGGTGGTGGTGATGATGGTGGTGGTGGTGGTGGTGGTGGTGATGATGGTGATGGTGGTGGCGGTGGTGGTGATGGTGATGTGGTGGTGGTGATGGTGATGGTGGCTGTGGTGGTGGTGGTGGTGGT